ACGGGGGTGGTTAGATGTGAAACACCAGTCCTTGGTGCTCACGGGCCTGGTGAAGGCCAAGGCAGTGTCCCATGTATTTTCCTCCTGCTATTAAGGGTTATTGCTCAGCATAGATGGGAGGGATGTCTGCTCCTGCTCCCTTTCCTCCATGCCTCAGCTACGCCCCTGTCCCAGAATCTCTGGGAAGACCAGAGAACAGCAGATACAGTGCAATGAGAGCATGCAGGGAACAGTCGCTAGAAATACAACCCCTTCTATGAAAATGTTGTAACGAGTGAGTTGGGGCCAGCCCATTTCATCTGACCTATTCATCAAGGCTATGTCTACATTGGCATGATCTTGCGCAAATACTCTTTTAACGCAAGAGTTCTTGCATTAAAGTGTTTGCGCAAGAGAGCGTCTACACTGGCATGTGCCTTTGCGCAAGGGATGTGCTTTTGCGCAAGAGCATCCATGCCAGTGTAGACGCTCTCTCGCACAAGAAAGCTCCGATGGCCATTTTAGCCATAGGGCTTTCTTGTACAAGAAATTCATGTTGCCTGTCTACACTGGCCTCTTGCACAAGAACAGTTGTGCAAGAGGGTTTATTCCTGAGCGGGAGCATCATAGTTCTTGTGCAAGAAGCCCTGATTTCATACATTAGAACGTCAGTGTTCTTGCGCAAGAACTTCCCGACAGTGTAGATAGGCAGCATGTTTTTGCGCAAAAGCGGCCGCTTTGGCGTGAGATCACACCAATGTAGACACAGCTCAAGGGAAATATATGCAGAAGGATTCTTGGTGCCATGGGATAAAGCAGTGCATGGATACAAGGAAGAAGGGTGGGTGAGAAGGGCCACATGTCCAAAGTTAGCATCACTGCTATGGCAAAAGGGTCTACAAACAGCAATCAACGTGTGATATGGGAGGGCTGTGAAGACGTTTCATTTAATTCAGATTCCAGTGGTTAGTGCCCTGTTATGGGGGAGGGGTCATTAGTCCTGAGTATGTGGATTACTGTTACCCATGCTGAAGCTCTGAGCAAGAAAGCCACATGTGCAAGGGCATATGGGGAATATCTAAAAGAGAAAGAAAGGGGAGAAGCTCTTAAGACCTGTCCTGGTGATAGATGGAAGTAAACAAACAAGCCTGTCATGTCTTCTGAAGAATAAAATGGGGGAAAGATTTGCTGGGAATGGGCCTGCCACCATTCCCTAAAGACACCACAGGATGAGGAAGAAGGCAATATGGATGCCCTCCCCCACACATACGCAGGGGGACAACTTTTGGTAGGAGCACCTGTCAGGGAGTTGGTTGTTTTGGATAAGAAGATCATGGGAATTTGTGGAAAGTCCACTCCTTGCCAGGTTGAGCCAGTAGCCTTTAGACCTATGGAGATACATTTTAAATTGTGTCCAATTTATTTCTAAGCTGCATCCTCCTTTTCAGGGCTTATGAAAAAAGGGTATCTCCAACTGGAGTGGTCTCAAGTTGCAGTGGGGTTTTTAGGTTGGATATTAGGAAAAACTATTTCACATGGGCTGTGTCTACATTGGCAAGATTTTGCGCAAATGCAGTCACATTTGCGCAAAATCTTGCCATCTGTCTACAATGGCCACAAGTACTTGGGCAAGAACACTGACATTCTAATGTGTGAAATCAGTGCTTCTTGCGCAAATACTCTGACGCTTCTGCTCAGGGATAAGCCCTCTTGCGCAAGAGACCAGTGTAGACAGGCAACATTAATTTCTTGTGCAAGAAAACCTGATGGCTAAAATGGCCATCGGAGCTTTCTTGCGCAAGAGAGCATCTACACTGGCATGGATGCTTTTGCGCAAAAGCACATCTCTTGCGCAAAGGCACATGCCAGTGTAGACGCTCTCTTGCGCAAATACTCTAACACAAAAACTCTTGCGTTACAGAGTATTTGCGCTAAATAATGCCAGTATAGACGTAGCCTAGGAGGGTGGGGAAGCACTGGGATGGGTTCCCTATGGAGGTGGTGGAATCTCCATCCCTGCAGGTTTTTTAGTCCAGGCTTGACAAAGCCCTGGCTGGGATGATTTAGTTGAGGTTGGTCCAGCTTTGGGCAGGCTTTGGACTCAATGTCTTCCTGAGGTCTCTTTCAGCCCTAGGATTCTATGATTCCTAATGCAGAGACTTTCATGGAGGGGGCTGCAGCCACCGTTACCTTCCCATATCGCTAAATGGAAATGGTAGATGTAAAGTGGAGACCCTGATATAGAAAAGGCAGAGATCCACTGCCTCAAAGGAAGCTGGGAACTTGAAGGGCTGCAGCAGAAGCCCAGCTGAGATGCTAATTTAGGGCTTGATCCAAGCTCCCTTAAGTCAGAGGGAGTATTTTCATTAGCTTTAATAGGCTTTAGATTAGACACACTTGGCAAATGCCCCCCTCCCTTCCAAGTTACTATCATGGTGCTGTAAATTTTACAAGTCAGGGACTCTGTCTTAGACAACATTATTTAAGAAATGCCTCCTTGTTGCATGTAATTGGTGCACAAAATAGTTGTGGCAACCACAAAATGTACCACTTATTTTATTTTAAATTTGAAAACTTTTTTTTGGTGCTGATTATGGCTAGAGATCGAATTTCAGTCTGGGACAAATTTTTACATCCAGTTTGTAAATTACTAAAAGTAAGGAAGAATATACAATTACTAATAACCCCTTAATTACATTGGGGTTAGCTAAAGTCTGAATAAGTGCCCCAAAGTTTCATGATTGTTAGAAACTCTCCTTTGTTTTAGGATGCAAAAACTTCTCCAGATTCCTTCAGCACAAGCTGGAAGAGCATCTTTTCAGGTTTCTACTCTAGCCTTTGGAATCTTGATTTTAAATTGTTTTCCCTCTGGGATAATTGTTTTCACTTTAGTGCTGGAAGGATTGGAGGGCTGCAGTAATGGCTTCTCTGGCTGGCAGGACACAGGTTTTGCTCTTGTTGTTTCAGCAGCAACAGACTTTGAGGCTAGGACAGTATTTGCTCAATTCTGAGCTCACAGCATGCAGTTTTAACTTCAGAAATGCCTGTTAACAGGTGAGAGGAGACTGTTTCACTCAAGTTGAAAACATTGCGGGCTGAAACTGAACTATATAACAGTAACTGCACTGGAAAATGTCTCATTCAGAAATGCTAACAACGAACTTTGACTTGGGACATTGTGCTGGATCTGTTTGTTTCTAAGCATGCTTTATCTAATCTATTGATCTTTCTTGCATTTATAGTGCACTCATCATTGTGGTATCTTTTAAAAGTGCGTGTGAAAATCTTGTTTACAACGGACTTCGTTTCCTCTTAGCAGGTTTGACACAGACGGATTTTTATTTATGTATTTATACTTATGTTAAAGTAGGTGAATGCCGACATTGGCATGTGGTGGGGCTGTGGGAGAAGAATTAACTCTCTCCTGCATTGTTAGCAGCAGGGGGTCTTCCCCTCCTCCCCCCATCCAGCCAGGACCCTTGGAATCCAGTAGTACTCATGACCAAGAACATTACTTGAAGAAATAGGACATGACTATGCTGTTATAGGGATGGTGTAAGGTGCATTCGTGCTAAAATAACTGAAGAAAGACTTGGTGGCTCAAATGACTCATAGGGCAAAGAACACAATTGCTGTGCTCTCTTTTAGTAGACACGACTACTAAATGCACCTCCATGGATGCACCCATTTAAAACTTTGCTATCATGTAAGGATTGTCTGTTAGTCTTAACATAAAGTTGAAGGGAGTAAAAGTAACACTGCTCTCTATTGAGGGAATATCTTGAGACACAGGGACCTTCAGTAAAGAACACTCAGAAACTGTCACAGTTGGCAACCAGTGTTCTCTCTAATTTCTTCCCTCCTTGTGCAGAATACATTTTTTATGCATCAAGGCATGTGCAGCTGTGCACCACCAGCTCTGCTAATCAGCTGAGTGGCATTTTAATCTCTCCTGGCTGCCCAAGTGCTCAGTTTACGGGGAACACTGATGGCAACTGTCAGTTCAAAATAGTGTCCACCGGGCTTTGTTACTGTTTAGTTGGCTCCTACTTTGCAGAGGCGTGTGTATGCTGCAGGACGGCTTTGTACACTTTAACATTTGCTTACAGCAAAACGAAAACTCAAAACATTTTGAACACTTCACTTTTAAATAGCATATCAGATGGCTTCTTCGTGGCTATATTGAACCCCTTTCCACATATGCCATGGCATAGAGCTCTCCAGGGACTCGCAACGAGGTATGTGGGTAGAACTGAAAGAGGGCTAGTGAGATGGGAAATCCACAGCCGGAAGAGAGCAGTGCTTCTCTCCATAAACAGTAACAGTAGGCATAGCCATACTACACAAGCAACTTGGTCAGAGGGAGCCGCTGATATTGCTTCTCAGGCCCTGCACAGAATCTACATGTGTAGAACAAGGCTTCTTGTACCACTTCTGTAAAAGGGTGGGTTTCACCCCCTATGAATGTTGTTTGGGAGGCTGTCCCAAGTTCAAGATGAGAAATAAAAGAAAGCACAAAAAGTGTAAGTAGGTAGAGACAAAGGGAGTAGCTTAGGAACTAGTTATGTTGCAACATATATGAGAACATTCTAAAAAGGGAAATTCTTTAAGTATACAGTTCAATAGGGAACGATTAGTTTAAGATTTGATTGTAAAATTATGTTCAGGACGTAATAAATGCCAACAGACGCTCTCAGATATGAAATCTTAGCCTATGAGGAAAGAGGAGGAAATACCTAGAACTATTGCAATGATGGTGTGATAATTTTAGAACATCCTTAAGTCATCTGCACTTTCTGGAATTATATTGAGCAATTGTTTCTGGCAAACAAGTAACTTTAACTCGAATTTCACTTTGAAAGAGCTGTAAAAGTGAAATGTGGAACTCATTCTTCCATGTCACTGATCAGAAGCCCAAAATACATCTGTTCTACATGAATAAATCCAGACTTTGCTTTCACAGAAGAATAACTATATTTGTTTGCAATGACTTTAAATACATTTCTGTTGATTTCATTCATGTGCAGTATATCTTGTAAAGTCAGAAAAAAACCCTCAACCCTGTTGTTTATACTAAAATTTCTGTGTGTATACATTTTAGGTATTTTCCCCCCTAATACTAGACTAATTAATACATGTTACAATTTTATTCTAATAGTCAAAAATTGTAGTTGATATCCTTCATTTTTACTTTTTAGAGCTGGGATTTCACACTAAGTGGTGCATAAACATAAAATTTGGGTCAGGATCTGATTTCTTTTTTTTAAACAGCACTTGAGGGCTAAACTAACTCCTAATGGTTTCAGTGGACTGACTCCCACTTTGCACTGATACAACGGAAATACTCTGTTTGAAATTAGTTAACAGAAATTGGGTCTTTTGACTAGACTTTCTACCTCCAATCAAAAATGTCTTTAGAAGACTTAATCTGTGCGTCTTTATAATGTAGTCATTGCACATCTTCACAATGTATTAAAAAGAAACATTAGCCAAACTGTGTTAAAATGAAAACATTTTCATGTTAAATGAAAAATGTTTAAACTTTTGCCTACTGTTCTACAGATTTTTGCACTAAGTTCTTGAAAGCAAGGATAATTTATATACAAGGATGCCTTAAAATAAGCCCCCATAATTACAAAAGTGTAGTGTTTAAATTTATAGTAAAAACCACACACTGCTGGCAAAACTGTGACTACATCTGGAAAACATTAAGGATACTATTAAAATAGTCCAGCATAAACTAGAAATGAGACAAATTACAGTGTTGCTTACTTTTGAACCTAACAATCATTTTTAGGAATTACATTTTGAATGTGAAACACTTCCCTGTGTGGTATAACACTGAATTTTATATAGTTCAAATATAACTGAGCATGAGTTTTACACCTAATTTTGCCCTGTTTTTGGAAGCAACTTGCTATTTTTTAAATGTCCTTCTATATTTTGTTGTTTAAAACATTTCCAGGAGGCTGTTGATCCAGCTGTTGGGAAGGATAATGACAGGCTCTCACATGAGGGTGTAAAGTGTGATCACATCACTTAAACATTTATTTTATTAAAAAGGGAGAAATGTTTTCAAACATTAAAAAAATGCTACTTTTGTATAAAAACAGAAATAGGCAAAATGCCTATTTGTCTTATTTACATAATACATTACAATATTTTTCAATGTATTAAATTATTTACAATATATAAAAAAAAATCAGTAAAAGAGGTTTTGGGGTTTTTTTACAAGACATCAAGCCCTGTACTTCTAGTGTAGATCATGGCAAACAAGAATATTATTGCACCAATGAAACAAATCGTCTAACAGAGTGTTTCTCTTAGCCATGCCTGGAACTGAAATCTAAAATAACATCAACAGTAACATTCATTTAATCCCATCTAGGGTTGACTTCAGGCAGTTTCCATACAAACATTGTCTTATAAAGCTTATGTCTTAGGCAATTACAATCAGAGCTACAGTATTTACAGCTTCTATACAATCTGTATGGAGTCTTGTCGAGTTTACCCTTCACAGAAGCTCTATAAATAAACCACAATCTCCTGAGTGGAGCAGCCAGTGACACTGATACAGTTCCTTTAAAGTCTCTTCAGGAGATGACAGGCTAAACCTCCTTGAGTCAAATTCTTCTTTAGCATCCATGGCTAGAGCTTTCTTTCCTCTAAGTAGTACCAGCTACAGCTTTCTGAATGATTCTGCGCCTGACCAGTTAAATAATGTCTCTTGTGCAGTACAGTCTCTATAGCTACATGTGCCTTTTCATATGCAGAGCCAGGTGGTCTGACCTAGAGAAAGCCCTGTCACAGAGATGGCACTGGAAGGGCCGGTGGCCAGTGTGCTTGCGATAGTGACGTGTCAGTTCATCAGAGCGAGCAAACTTCCAGCCGCAGCCTTCCCAGTTACAGTGATAAGGTTTCTCACCTGTTGGAAAAATCAGACAGACCATGACTCAGTGAATTCCTCCCACATAAAGGCAGCTCTCTAACACTAGAAGGGTTGTATGCAGCCTCACTGGGTCTCAGGGAATTCCTAACATTTCTCTTAGTATCTGCTATTGGTGCCCAGCCCTGTAGCATCAAAGTGCCTCTCAGGAGAAATTGCAGTAGCAATGCTTCTCCCTTCTCTGCGCAGAGGAAGTTCTCTGCTTGGAGGAGGGTTGTGCGGGTTTGCTCTTGTTTTGGGGTGATTGGCAGGCCATTGTTGGAAGTATCGCTTTGGTAAGGGTGGAAAATTTTTAGCAAAAACACATGCAGAAAGCTCCCAGACACAACAGGGTTATTAACCTCTCAGACCGTTGCTGGGCATGCATCTTACAGACTTTGTACGGTTAATGAGCTTCTCACACAATTCAGGTTATAATCTACTCCTAGATCTAATTCTGCAGCAGCGGGTTTCTTAGTACCCAGACATGGCAAACCCCATGGATGCCCCACATAGCCAAGCACTGTGCTGTATTTACCTGTGTGTGTTCTAAGGTGGGCCTTCAAATGCGAGCTCTTGGTATAGGTTTTCCCACAGCCTGCATAGGTGCATGTGTGTGTGGCTGTCCTCTTCCTGGGCCAGGATCGTCGCCCTCTTTTGGGCTTGGAATCTATCAACTCCAAGGGAGAGGAAGGAGGCGTTAGCATGCCTCTTGGAGCTGAGGGTTGCAAGGGCAGGCTGTTCTCAAACAAGCCAAACTGAGAGGCACTCTGGTACTGGAAGTGGGTCTGGTGATGGTGGAAGCCTGTGGCAGGGTGATAGTTCTGCTGGAATGACATTGATGAGGGGCAAATCATCTGTGCTTGGCAGTCAGTCACCATTAGGTCATCAGGGCTCAGAGGGGGTGTCTCTGTGCCAGGGATCTGGGGTGAGCTGGCCATCCTAGGGTGCTCATAGCCCATCATGCAGGTTGCACTGCCTTCTTGCTTGATCTTAGGACACGTCTGAGGGACGAGGCCCATGACAGGCCCATAACTGTCCATGTCAGGTTCTGGCTTAATGTGGTCCACAAAGTGTGGGCTCCCGAAGCTGGACGTCACAAAGAATCGACCCTGGACACTGTTGGGGAGGCAGAAGTTTGAGTCCATCTCCGACCTGATCATCTCTGGCATGAGGCTGGAGTTGTAGGGTGGGGGATTGCTCTGTTCCAGGGAATTGTAGCATCCAGATGATGGATTTGTCTGGTAGAAGCTGCTGGGTTCCGTCTGTGCCGAGGGATAGTCCCCACTAGGTGAGCTCTGGCTAAAGTTGTCATTGCCCATGGAAAGGATAAAATCCAAAACGTTGTTGAGATCTTCATCCTCTTTGCTGCCCAGTCCCGGCCTCAGCTCTGGCATGGTGCAGCTGCTGGCAGGGGGCTTGTCCCCGGGGTCACACTTCCACCTCTGAGAAAGCAAAGCAGAGATTAGCGCTCGGGGGAAGAGGGCCCAGGTCTCCCCCCAATGGGCAGCGCCAGCCCCCCTGCTCCGGGCTGGGCTTGGCTCCGCCACTCAGCCAAGGCTGGGACCCCAGGGTGCGTGCCCCGCGAGGCACGGGCAGCCCGGCACAGCCCCCTGCCCACACCCCCTGTCCCTTGGCAGGAGTAGGGGGCGCCCCCGGGTCCCCCCCCGGGAACGTGCCCAGCTGGCCGGCGCGCGGCGACACTCACACCGTGGAAAGTTTTCTCCCGGCAGGGGCTGGCGAAGGTGGCGAAGGAGGGCAGGGCAGTGTCGCTCAGCGCCATGCTCGGCTCGCTGCGCTGCGCTGCGCTGCTCGGGGGCTGTAGGCTGGCGGCTCCGGGCCCG